CCAGCCAATGAGACGGGAGAGATACTTAAATGTATATATGTATGTATGTATGTATGTATGTATATGTATATCACTTTCAGGTTAAGGTAAACAAACATGTTGCTCTGTTTGGATAATCAGAAAAGACTAAATTAAAATCCCGGAGGACACACACCTTTTCATTAAGTATCTCTCCCGTCTCATTGGCTGGAGTCTTCGATAGTCCTTTGCCTTGTTTGCTCCACTCAACCAGAGGGTCATGAAGGAAGGTTTTAAGCACACTAAAAATAAAAAAAAATGCTGACTACAAAATACATGGAAACTTATAAGAGCTCGGGACAGAAAAAAACCATAGAAGGTGATTGTGATGTAAACAGTATGATGAGTGTAAATAAGTAAAAGCTCTTAATGTACTTTGTTATGTTTACCTCATGAGTGGCTCTCTCTGGTCTCTCATTAGTCTTAGTGTGACCTCACATGCCTGCCTAAACAGGCCCTCAGTGCCCATGGGCCCCATGGCATGTACCATGTTTTGAGTCAGGCGAAAAGGAACCACCTCAGGCATGTCAAACGTCTCCCCCTATTGGACAATAAAAGTAGCGCACGAGAGAAGAAGTGGCAAAATAAAAGGGCAAAATTAAAAAGGACAATTACAAACCTTGTTGAAGAGGCAGTTGAAGTCAACGTGAACACAATCTCCAGTGAATGAGTCAAAAAGGATGTTTTCTCCGTGGCGATCTCCCAGACCCAGGATGTAGCCCACCATGGACATCACAGCAGTGGAGCGGCAGTATGCAGAGCGACTGCTGTACCTGCAAATATACGGTACACACACATCAAGTCAGACAAGAGCAGCATATGGCCCGAGGGACAAAAGTGGCCCTTGGACAGTCTGCATCAGGCCCCCAATATCCTTAACTGAAAATTGTGTAAACATCTGAACAGAAATAATCTGAAGTTTCAGTCAGGGTTCAGCACAGAATCAGCACTAGTAAAAGTCATTAATGATATTCTCATGGCCTCAGACAATGGACTTGTGTCTCTACTGGTCCTGTTAGACCTCAGTGCTGCATTTGATACAGTTGATCACAATATTTTACTACAGAGGCTTGAATATGATGTTGGGATTACAGAAAGTGATCTACAATTCATCCTGTCCTCTCAAACTCAGCCGGTCAAAGCAGATGGACGCTCGTCCTGATCCTGGTTCTGCTGGAGGTTTCTTCCCGTTAAAAAGGAGTTTTTCCTTTCTACTGTCTCCTTTGTGCTTGCTCAGGATGGGAGACTGTGATGAAGTGAAGATTCAACATGTCTGCTGGCTTCCTTCCTTTGACAGAGAACTTTTACTAACAGTGTTTTGTATGTGAATGTTTCTGTGCAGTGTCCTGAGACGACTTCTGTTGGGACTTGGTGCTGTATAAACTGAACTGAATCAAAAGAAAACATCTATCCATCATCTTTACCCGCTTCTTCCATTTTGGATCACGAGGGTCGCTGGTGCCCATGTCCAGCAATCACTGTGCGAGGGGCGAGGGACACCCTGGACAGGTCTACAGTCCATCACAGGGACACATAGAGACAAACGAGACAAACAACCATTCACTCTCTCTCACCTAGGGACAATTTAAATGGTAAATGGTAAATGGACTGTACTTATACAGCGCCTTTCTATCTTATTTCAAGATGCTCAAAGCTCTTTACAACAATCTGTGCCTCATTTACCCATCCACACAGCTCTATACTAGATCTCTACAAAGCTAATTGAACAAATCATTCTAAAGAGACTGATCAGAGCTTTATCACATTCATACACTGATGGGACACACATCAGAAGCTATGAGGGGTTCAGTGTCTTGCTCAGGGACACTTCGGCATGTGACTGTTGGTGGATTTGAACCCCCAACTCTTGCATTGGAGGACGACTGCTCTAACCACTCAGCCACAGCCGCCCCACGAGAAATTTAGAGTTACCAGTCAGTCTAACATGCATGTTTTTGGTCTGTGGGAGGAAACCAGATTACACTGAGAAAACCCACGCAGCACGGAGAGAACATGCAAACTCCACCCAGAAAGGCCCCTGGACCGGGATTTGAACTGGCAACCTTCTTGCTGAGAGGCAGCAGCTCTACCAGTTGCACCACCGTGCTGCCCCAAAAGAAAACTTTTTAAAAATCTGATGCAAAGCTGCATTTTATCAGAGAAACTTAATGAAATTTAAACTAAACATATTGAACAAATACATAAAAATCTTTGGTTTAAAATAGACTAAAACCTTTTGCAGTTGTTTCCAGAACTAGACTGAACCTTATAGACACATAACGTTTTTATATTATCACACACACACACACACACAATTTTTTCACAAGAGCTGTTGACAGGTATAATCCCAGAGTTTTTGGAGACATATTTTTACCACTGTTTTTGTCTGTCCAAACAGGTCTCACTTGTAAATGAGTATTTGAGGCTCAGTGTGATTTATCTGTTTAAATAAAGCAACTTCAAATTCAAGCAAATTCAAGCAAATTCAAGCAAATTCAAAGCAACTTACTGTATATTGTACTATATATATCTACCAATTTATTTTTCTTGTAAGCACTTCTGGATAGATGCAAACTGCATTTCGTTGCTTTGTACCTGTGACATGTGCAATGACAATAAAGTTGAATTCTATTCTATTCTATTCTATTCTATTCTATTCTATTCTATTCTATTCTATTCTATTCTAAAGGTTGAATGAATGAATCAAGCATGCTAACCATGCTACAACAGGACAAACTCTGAAAAAGTCTTCCTGATTATCCGTCTTAAAGAAAATGTATTTTCCATTCCTCCAAGCAGAGCTTCGATTGCTCTAAATATCTTGATCTGGCCCTCTGGAGTGAAGTGTTGCCCACCCTGCACTAAGTTATCAAAGCTGCTGGAAAACACTGACTGACTGACTCCATCCATTTTCTTCCTCTTATCCGGGGTCGGGTCGCGGGGACAACAACTTAAGTAGGGAGGCCCAGACCTCCCTCACCCCAGCCACTTGGTCCAGCTCCTCCGGGGGAATCCCGAGGCGTTCCCAGGCCATCAGAGAAACATAGTCCCTCCAGCGTGTCCTGGGTCTTCCTCTGGGTCTCCTCCTGGTGGGACGTGTCCGGAACACCTCACCAGGGAGGCGTCCAGGAGGCATCCTAACCAGATGCCCGAGCCACCTCAACTGGCTCCTCTCGACGTGGAGAAGCAGTGGCTCTACTCTGAGTCCCTCCCGGATGATCGAGCTTCTCACCCTGTCTCTAAGGGAGAGCCCAGACACCCTGCGGAGAAAACTCATTTCGGCCGCTTGTATCCGAGATCTCGTTCTTTCGGTCACAACCCAAAGCTCGTGACCATAGATGAGGGTGGGAACGTAGATCGATCGGTAAATTGAGAGCTTCACCTTTGGACTCAGCTCTCTCTTCACCACGACAGACCTGTACAGCGCCCGCTTCACTGCAGACGCTGCACCTATCCACCTATCGATCTCACGTTCCATTTTTCCCTCATTCATGAACAAGACCCCAAGATACTTGAACTCCTCCACTTGGGGCAGGACCTCCTCCCCGACCCAGAGAAAGCTCTCTACCCTTTTACGGATCAAGACCATGGCCTCGGATTTGGAGGAACTGACTCCTGTTAAGTAAATGTTGAGGAGTTGCAATGTACCAGGATGTTGGATCAGGGAATGTTCGGAGGAACCACTCATAGAAGACAGGGTGATGTCGGGCACACAGCACCTCCTTGTGGATTCGTAGTTTCTCCTCAAAAGGAGCCGTCTTTGGTAGAATGAGCTTCCTCAGCTCTTTACCCGACAGGTGGATACCTTAAAAAAGACACAGATATGAATCAGGACACGTTCCACATGTATTCTCCTTTCTTCACATGTGACAGTACCTCTCTCTTTGTAGAGCTTGGTCAGGATGTGCCGCAGTCCAGCAGTGTTGTTGACCCATTCGATGATGCCACACTCCTCGTTGAGAGGAATCACAGCATAGGTGCGTATATGTAGCTCCCTTCTCCTCGACTCTGCATCTTTACGAAGGCACTACACACAAACACACACATACACTAAGTAAGGTGGCGATAAACTGCCTTAAAGTATTTGTTGCGTTCTTCTCTGTACTCATGCCAAACATCTGTACTGTGGTAGTTCTGACACAAATACTGTTACTCCCAGTAAGCTGAGTGTGTGTACACATCAATCCATCGTGTATTCGTTTGAGTCCTGCACCTTGTTGACGAGACAGTTGAACTCCATGAGCCTGCAGTCTTTCCTCAGATCATCTTTAGGTTTGCACATCATGGTGTAACTCTGCCCATCTGAGCCCTTCAGACTTATCTTCTTAGGCTTTTGTAAAGAAGCCAAAATCTCCACCTATACAACCACACATAAAGCACGTACACATGCACACTGCTTTGTATAGCAAGATGTTTTTCTGTAAACAATACATAAAATCCATTATTCCAGAGAGAATTTTCCCCAGGTGCCCAATGCTTTCTCTTACAGCATCTTCAAAGCCAGCCAGGTACGCCCAGTGTCCTGGGAAGGCGTCGTGCTGGGTGTTTGCCCCTCCAGTAGAGGGCAGCGTGGGGATGAGGACAGACTGCAGCGGGATCAGGATCTGGCTGAACGTCGGCTCTTCCACCAGACGTTTGAGCTGCTTGAAGTGAACCGTCATACTGAGGATGGTGACGTTACCGTCCACCTAAAATAACCACACTCATCTCCAGTTACATACATTTACATTTATTATTCATAGTGTCTATGTTGTACCCACTGCAGCAACAATATGCACAAAATAATTAGCTTTAAAACTGGTACACTGAAGCCATGAATCAATATACATTCATCTGATAAGAGCACCTGAAAACAAATATAATCAAATGATTTGATCAGAGGAATTACACATGAATGCTTCTGACAATTAATTATGAATGCTTGAACTTCATCACTACTTCCAAGGTAAATTCTGTTGCTTTATTGTTTATTGTGCACGTGTGTGTGTACCGGCTTGTTGCAGAGCTCCAGCAGCTTGTCCGTCAGTTTGTTGGCATCTCCAATAAATTTCCCCAGAGACTGCTTAAGACTGACAGCTTTCTTAAGTATCTGATTACAGCGGTTCATACGCATGGGGTAGGACGACTGAAAAACCAATGGCACACACGGGAGGATTATTTTACATGAACCAATGAAATGTTTGAAGATACTGATACAGCAGGTGTTAACATAATCAGGTGCATCAATCAAGTGTGCAGGCGTTTAGAGCTGAGGGAAAGAAAAGCAAAGTTTTCTTAAACAGTCGCACCCTTAGATACAGGAGCTACGGGAAGGAGCATTTATGGAAACTAGGAGCTGCTTCTTAAGGCAGTGATCCAGCACGTCGCGCTTCATAAAACAGAGAAGACCACACTGACCTTGGAGACAGCAGCCATTAGCCACATAGCCTGCTGTGGGTATGCAAGGAGCACCTTGGCCACGATAGTCATGAGAACAGTGAAGACTTCATCGCTCGAGTGGCACACTCTGGAGATGAGCTGGGAGAAGGCGGTGAGGAACTGGTACGGTGCAAGGTTGGTGCAGTGCTCACTGACTACCACGTTGAGTTGAGCGAGCTCCTGTCGCATCAGCCTGTCGGCTCGCCCAGCTGAAGAAGACAAATACAGATGCAGAAATAATGTCATGTGACGTCAGCTGGTAACAAGAAGTCAAACTGAAGCTCCTTGTTTACTCACCTTTCTCACATTCACACACTTTAGCTCCAAAATCCAACCAGAGGGAGAGCATGCGAGGCATGGCCTGGTAGATGTACTGGTTTCCAAACTGCAGAGCTCTGATATGGAACAAGTTTAGAAGTATGATGAAGTAAAAAACTAAATCCAGACTACAGGGACTTGAAATAAGGAGTAAAGAACAACCTACTTTCCAAAGAAACTGACGATGTATCTGATGAGGTTTCCCTGTTTCTCCAGCTTGTTATCAGTCACCATGGGCATTACTTTGTCGTAGTACTTGGCCAAGTAGAAGTTTCCATCCTCCCACTCTGGCAGCAGGTTGGTCACATCCTAAATTAAAATAATTCACCCAACGATTATATTTATATCATGGTGACCCTCACCATTTACCATTGTAGCTAAACATGATCCTAATGTAAAGACAGTTGATAAATGTGTTGATAACAAACTGTTAGGAGTGTGATTAACAACTAAAAGTAAAGTTAAGATAAAGACCTTGTATGCCTTCATGATGGCGTTGGACTCAGAGTTGGCCGTCTCCTCCATGAAGCGTCCAACCAACAGCATGGCCTTGCCTTTAGTGTGCAGGCTGCGAGGGTCCGTGTGTAGCTGGTCATCAGGGAAACACTGGGCCACGCCCTTCTGCAGGACGATCAGGGCCTGGTGGACATCCCCCTGAACACACCCCACACACAACAGCTGGCTCAGAAAACCACTCTTTCAACAGAAGGAAGTTAAATATGAAGAGCACTGTATTGTTTCCAGTGCTTTAATGTTGAAAGATAGGAACTGTGTAAAACGGATGTGACAAGAAGACGTTTATGAGTCTTTGGCAACGTTAAGAACGGTTATGTAAGAACATGGTCTCATTCTATACCAGAGGACCAAGGCAAGAGGCCGTTTGAGGCCGAGACATCCGTTTGCTCTGGGCCTCCTTCCCTGGTTTATAATGAATGGCTGATATTACTCATCTGGTATGTAAAGGTATTCAGGAGTGAAGTGGAAGCCACATGATGTAGACCTAAGGACAGGATGTGAGATAAGAGAACTAGAAGACCCCACAATGTACTTTTAAGACATTAAGGGCGTAAGATGGTATAAAAGACTGGCTCAGAGGAGGACCCTGTGAACACCTCTTGAACTGCACATGCATTCAACGTATGTTCCTTTGTACAACAAGACGGCCTTGACAAAAATTAGACGAGTTTTAAGCTTTATTTCAAAATAACCCTAACAGTTTTAGAGTCTGAACCACAAACTTACAACACTTTTGGAGAACTAGAAAAACTGCATGTTTTGCAAAACTGCAGAATACTGAGTGTTGAATGACTTCACTGAAACTAGCTGAACAAGCTGAAAATGAGTTGTTAAAGAAGCAGAACACGAAGCAAAACTTTAGATAAAAGCCAAATGAAGCATTTGATAGCTAAAAGCTAAAGAGGCAAAACATTAGCAGAAAGTAGCAGAACATTTCTTAAAGCAGCAAAAAGCTTAAAGTATAAGAACGTAGGTAAAACCTAAAAGTAACAGAGCTGTAAAGAAATGCAAAAAGTACCTAAAATCCTAGCTACATCTTCAAACAGCAGAACAGTAAGTAAAAGCTAAAAGGAGCAAATGGCGTCAGTATGGTGAAGCACACTTTAAAGAATAAGTTTTTGAAATAATTGAATACGTTGCAACTTAAACATTTTGAAAAGTATAAATGTTAGAAAACAAGAGGAAAACAAAAGTTTTCACTAAATGAAGCGTAGGAATGTTTCAGCAGATTTCCTGCACCTTGGACCAGAGCCACTTGGCCTTCTCTGTGAGCAGCTCAGCCAGGTTCGTCTTCTCTGCATTCAGAAGAGCGTTGAAGGCCGTCTGGTGATGTCCTGCCTTTCTGGCCACTCGGGCACTTTGCAGCCAACACTCTCCCAGCAGCTCCTCACACACACACCTGCAGAACAGCAGCAGGACCATCTGAGATCATCGTTATCATTGTGCAGATTCATCTTCTGCTGTAGATGTTTATAGTTTGTGTCTATCAGCATGTGAGAAAAGACCTGGAGAAAACAAACAAGCCCTGCCCACGACAGGCCGGGAAGAGTTGAGACAAAACGCATGTTGTTATAATAAGACAGTTATCCTAAACTCATCACGTTGGACCAGCCGCTCTGAGAAAATCTGACTCACATGCTTAACATTTCATAAAACCAATAACTGCAAAGTTTCTAATATGATTTATGAAACAGGTCACCACTCTGTAAAAATTGTATGTACCGCATTTTCTGCCGTACACGTCACATCGCCCTATAAGTCACATCTGTCCAAATATGTCTAATAAAGTGAATTAAAACATAAATATGTCGCTTCGTCATATACGTAGACCTGTCGCAATAAACAATAAATCAGTTAATCGCATGATAAATGAAAATTATCGACCTCATTTTCATTTATCAGCTTCATCGTTTCTTCGTGTCTCTCTTTCTACTGAAGACACTGGAGGACAAAAGGCTCAACTCTTCACTGACCCCTCCCTTTCTCTTTTCTCTTTAAAATCTGTTTTAATGTTCCAAAATCACGTTTTTGGAACATTAAAAGCAGCTAAGCTGAGAAGCTGTGGAAAATAATAATTGTTCTAAACTTTAAAAAACTCTTAATAAAAAGAAAACCAGAGACATTTCTCTTTTAGCTCAAAACGGAGCGCGAGGTTTATTCTTTCTGCAGAAAGGAGTTGCTGCCTGCGTGAAGTCAGAACAAGCACACACAGCACACTGGATTCTTAAAGAGACAGTACATATATTTATACATGTTTCGTGCGTCACAATAACATTCTATCATGAAGGGAGGATAACGTTCCTCAGGTTGATACCATACACAAGTTCTTGTTATCAGTACGAGATGATGTTATTCTTCTTGTGGAGCCGTGCTCTGTAACAAGTCTTCTGTCCATGTGACTAGAACATTCTGATAAACATTTGTGGAGCTGGTATTTTTTAATTAGATTTGTAACAGTCTTTTGTTCATGTGGCTAGAATCTCTGAAAAAGAAAAACATATTGATACGAAAAGCGTCCTCAGCCGTTTAGATAAAAGTTCTGTATCTTTGCCTCTCTGCAGGTGGTGAAATACAAGGACGTTTGCTGAGCAGAGGACAAAAGTTCACATTTACAAGAGTTTACCAGAGTTCACATACACACACCAACTTTGAAAGTCTGCAGAATGAACATGGATTAAATGATATTTAAACAATACATGTTAGTTTATTAATTTTTTTCACAAAGCTAAGCTA